CGTTCCTCGATCAGTATGCAAGCGACGAAGACGGGGACACTGATGCGGAAGGAGATCAGGATTCAGAAGCTGGCGAACTTAGAGATAGCATTGTTGAGAGGCTGCGCTCCACCGGCGGCCCACATCGACAAACCATCCCGGAGTTGGCTCTTGAGATGGAACGTCGGTTTGAGTCTCCAGGCTTGTCGCAGGAGGACAACATGCTTCTCGACGATGAGGAATCTGAGCTCAATGGCCGGGAAGCGATTGAATTGGACTGGCAAACGATGATTCCTTCGGGTCCCATTGTCCAACTCAGTGTCCCCCGAGGGCAGGAACTCGACTTCCTTCAATGGGCCTGTACCAATGCACATCTCATTCCCGATTTCTCTTTCGTGTGGTCCAATGCTCGCCAACCACGATCAGTCTTTGTTCACACTTCCAACGTCTCCGCCGTTGAGCTCTCCCTTCTTTGCGGCACAATGCGATCCCCCCGTTCCTCAGACCTTTCCGGATACAAACATTTCGGCTACATGTCTCGCCACGGATATGAAGTGCTCGAGGACCTCATGTCTTTGACCGCCGCTTTGGACGTCACTCCCAGAGAAGGTAGCGGGTGGGCGCGGATGACAGGAAATGGCAGTTCGTCTATCCGCCCCAGCAATCACCCTTCTGTTGTGAAGCTGTATCGCGGGGACCTCGTCTTTGTTCAAGACAAGACAACCATTATCTTAATCCCGCGCATCTGGTATCCCTCAATGGAGTCCGCACAACCTGCACTTGATCAGAGCCGACCGAAACGCAGCGGCTTCGATATCTCCAGAATTCCTTCCGCGATGCGGCCTGTCTATGATCGAGTTTCGGATGACGAGGAAGAATCCCATTTTGTCCATGCTGAACACTTAACATGGGCTCATCGCACCTTCTGGGGTCCCTTCGAGTCTGTCGACTGCGATATCAATGATCCCGCCCGACCTGTCGAGTTTCTCACCGAACCCCCGCCGCGCGACGAGCTGGCCGAGTTCATGCGTTTAGATGGAACCTTGGGATGTTTCGATCAACATTGCGAGGATTTGTCGAGATGCGCGTTGCAGGCTGGCGACCGAGTCTTCGATAATCGCCGGAAAGCCCAAGGCAAAGGGGATGCATGGGTGGTCAGCATTTCCTTCGTCGATGACCAGTGAATCGCGACCTTGCGAGTGAATGAGTATCCTTTCCCGGATGGCGATGGCGACCGGGTGGTGACCTGCTGCCAAACCTGGGAAGTGCCAGTCAAGTACCTCTCCAGACATCCTCTGTGCCCGCCGCGGTCCATCAACGTTGGTGACAGAGTTGTAATGGCCCAGGGTGAGGGGCATCTGCCCAGAGGTGTGATTGGGCGTGTCAGCGAAGTCGATGAATCGACGGCGCGAATCCTTTCTTCCGACATCGCATCTCCAGAGGCGGTCATTGTTCCGCGCCGCTGCATCCACACACTCCTCGAGCAGGGCGACATTGTCAAAATCACGGAACATCCCTTCAGTATCTCCGCAGTCTATGCTGGATTGGTGGGCTTTGTGGTTGGATTGTCGGGGAACGGAGATGTCGAGATACAACTGGTGTGTTCGCCGCACAAAAGGAGTAGCGGAAACTGACCTCCGTTAGACGACATCAGACGAAATCCTGAACGAAGTCTTCCACAATTGGCACAACATGGAGGACAAAAATGTCGATCGGTTACATACGCAGCTGGCGAAGTCGGTGGGTCGTTCCTCACGGGCTTCTTCAAAACCGAATCTTATCATATTGCAGCTCGTGGTCAAGTCCTTCGACCTCGTTCAATCTTTCAATTCCTCGTTACCGATGAGCACAGTCGTCCCTTCCTTGAACGAGGCGGACAAGCGTTTGCGTGCAATGAGGCGCGACATGGGAGATGGTCTGCTGAAGTTGAACGGTATCGTCGTTCTTGTCATCCATGGTGCCTTCAAGGGCAGATGGGGTCGAATATTGGGCTACAACCACAGCAGGAAGATCTCTAAAGAGGGTCTGGATGATAACACAAACACCCTTGAACGTGCTTTGCTCGATGTCCAGTTGCAGATTGCTTTGGATAGCGCAATTGGTGCCACTGACACTCTGGTCGCAGCCTCGGATGTGGTGTGTCGCCGGTTTGTACTGTTCACGAAAGTCTTACAACGCTCGCTCATGCCAATCAGAGGGAGCTATCAGTACCCGCTTTGGAAGGTCTTGTGGATGCAAACCATGGGGGAGATGGATGTGTTCAGTAGCCCCAGACTTCGCACACCTTCGCCACAGCCCGAAGCCTGCCCACAATTCACTGCAGCTGAGCAGTCCATTTCGGCCGCTTCTGAGCGAACTGACCCTGGCGACGCCTGGCTCTCGGGTATCCCACTTCGGGGCAAGCGTGTCGACGTCATCATCAAGCCAAAGGAGGAACTGGAGCGATTGAGGAAAGAAGAGGCAGAGTCCGTTCTTCAGAAAGTTCATAAAGGCTCCCGTAGCTCTGCCGCTTTCACGGAGTTACTTGTCGCGTCCGGATCCCGACGCGGTTACATTGTCCCTCCGAGGGACTGGACCAACTTGAAGAGCAAGACATTCCACGTCGTTCTGGGGCCAACACAGCAGAAAATGATCAAGGCACCGGCCATTGCACTGACACCCGCTCGATGTCGCCTACCAACTACGTGGGAGGAGGATCGCTCCCTTTTGCCGTCAATCTTGGACGTCGCCTGCCGTGTTGTCATTATTGGCCCCGACGAGCATGGCAAGAAGGACCACCTCGGTCAATACGCGCGGACAAAACCCGAGACCCGCCAGGGGGACAATGTCACTGTCAGTTTCCCATCCTCTGACGTCACGGCTAATTTCCATATCTCTTCGCTTTGTGGATCACTCAACGTGCCTGTTGCTTCATGTGTGGAAAAGAAGGTCAAGTATGACACTTCATATTTTGGGAACACTTAGATGCAGTGTAGAAGTATGATTACTGCTGTCGTAAATATAATCGTCTTGTTGCGCGATCTGGTCATACAATGAGTGTCGATATCATTTATGAACTAGTGTGACACTGGTTTCGCCCACAAGTTGGTCGCGACCAGTCAACAAAAGAAATCAGTCAAGGCAAAAAAGGATCTTCCACCGTAGTTCGAACGGATGACCTACCTCAAGACGCCAGAGGAGAACGTCTCATGACAAAGGAAAGGCTTACCACTCATCCATTGGAGCTTGTAGTGAAATAAACATAAGTTATCCCAGATCTCTTGTTTATCATATTGCTGATGATTCTCAATATATCACATGTGGAAGTATGTATGATTCTACTACCTGTAAAACCATAGGCCTTCTCTAAGTGACTCATGCTTGCCAGCGCTTGTTGTCTCTGATGTACATGCCATTTTATGAACAAAGTTTGAATCTGGCCCTCCAAGTGTAAGATGGAATGTGGGCGGGAGATCTTCATGTAATAGCAATCTTATCTGCACCGCCCTGATCAATACCATCAAGATGAGGCGTTTTGCCTCGTCAAACACATACAACGCATTCGTGTCTTGGCCTCAACCATTTCGCTACTTTACCGCAGGGCGCTATAGTCACAATGGGCTCTTTCTACGGGTTTGATGCAGCTCCTGGGTGGACAGACCATCGATTGATTCTCCGTGAAAGAAACTGGGCGTGCATCATGAAAGATGAGGTACACGGCAGACCTCTGTGACCTTTCGCATTGAATGAGACCGAAAGTATGCAGGAGCCCGACGAGTGTGCCAACTTCCGCTTCTTCCGAAAAGCCCTCTATCGCGGTCTGGACAAGTTCTCCAGCATGTTCACTGCGACGGACGCCATCGCTCCCGATTCTGTGCTCGCTGGCGGCCAAACTCTTCAGGATGTCATCTGGCCCCAGGGCTTGCCAACGCACGCAGAGTTTGTTGCGTTTCGTGTCCATGAGTGGGCAAACATTGTCGAGTCCCGAGCACCCGATGGGCACCAGTCGATTGAAACAAGTTGCTGTATGGACTTAGATCAGCCTGTTGATTGGTGGGGCGGTCTAAGCGAAGTTCAAGTGAGAATAAGATGCACCTGGTGGGCTATACTGTCTTTGGACGCGGTGAATCTGAGCGTTTGACCCTGTTTGCACCTCGACAGATCTGACATGCATTTTCAGGACTTAGGTATTGGACTGGATCTACAAGACTACCATGATGAGCTCCGCCGCGCAATCATGAAAGTCGAGGCAATGAAAACATCTGTCTTCTCCATTCACTTTCACACTGAGTTGCGCATGCAACAATCCCTTTATAAGTTCACCTGGCCACTTGGGTATCCTACTCAAGCCGAAAAACTTGCGTACGAGATTGAGCACTGGGCCACTGGTCTTGAGGCGCGCACTGTAGGAGGACATGACGAAGTTCCTGTCCTGGTAGGGATGGAGGGATCGGGTTACGTTATGCGACCAGGCAACGGAGAATACGACATTCAGCCTATGTGGCCCTTATAATTGACACGAAATAGAGATCCGTAACATGAATGGCGCTGGAAGGCACCAGCGAGCAAACTTTGAAGACGCATCATCCATGTGCCATATGGTTGCGACCACCTGTCAGTGGAGAGTTGGTCGTGACCATCTCCAGGTCCCGAGTTGGTCGCGACCATTTCCTCCACTTATGCGCCTCGGTACAGAATTCAGAAGTAGGATCGTTTTTTTCATATACAGTCTTTATCATTGAACGGGAGAGTCAAAAAACATTCTTTACAGTGAGTCCGGGGCGCAAGATTGAACTATAAACTTACTTTCGCACATCAGTCCTGCATAAATAGACTTGTTTCTGGATGTCTGGCACGGTACAGCCACCTGATCGACAGCACAGCCACCGCTGCTACCATCAACGCTTGGCTGAATTGTGGTCCGCAAATATCACCAGTCACGTGTCCCTTTTGCTTCAAGCGGCCATAGCGGTGTGCCGCTGGGTGAGTGTAGAATCCGAAAGCTCACGTATGCGTCTTATTCAAGTCCCAGCTCCCTTGAAATGCCTGGACGATTCAACGAGAGGACGAAACACGCGCCAATCGCGTCCTCTACATCTCTCGTGGACGCGAAACCCAGGAAACGCAGCCTGGGCAAGAACTTGCACAAATTCCAGCCTGTATTCCGCCTAGCAGGAAAGACAAAGAAGGCAGTGCGTGTCGCTCTGCCTAAAAAGTCTGCAGCAGAGGATGCGGAACCCAGCTCCGCAAAACGTCCCAGCACACCCGTCCCTACAAACTCGTCACTATCGTCCCCGTGTCTTATCTTCCCCGCCCATCCAACATCCAACCCGTCAACGCCGAGGCGATCGTTTGTTGTTCCACCAACTCCGACAAGGTTGGGCGCATCACCTCTTCTGGGTGCGTCGCCGTTATCGCCATCTCCACCTTCCAACTCCGAATTCAATCTATCGCCTATTGTCACCCCCTTCATGAACCCCGACTTCGAAACTTCAGGTCATCACTGGGCCACCCATCAGGCGTGGAAGGCCTGGCAGGACAAAATCATCCCCCGCCTCGTTCCAATATTCAGCGATGTCTTCTTTTCGACGAGGGGCCTCCAGCGCCTTCAGGATCTTCCAAGACTGTGTCGTCGAATCTGCACCTGCGCTTCGACCCGGCTTTGTAAGGTCTCGGTTTGGCGAATGCACGGTACATCCCTCTGCTCCTTTCAAAAGTATTTTGATTGATCAACTCTCCCGACAGAGATCCAAGACGTCGAGATCGATGTTTGTCAATGTGTCCCGGCGGCGGAGCAGTTGCTGCGCTCAGGGTCGTTTCCCTCGTCACCATTGCTGCCGTCATTTGCGGTGGATCTCCATGTACTGGAGTTGACTCGAGAAGTGTTTCTTCGCACTTCGCCAAACAACACCGCATGGACAACAGCGCTGGAATCCTTCCTCCGAGGCTTGGGATTCCAGTTAGACCATGAGGTGCGTCAGTTGCTTGTCAGTAATGTCAAATCTGATGTGTGCTGAAGGGATCGTTGCGACGCTCTTTTGCGTCGGCACTGGAGTGGTATCTGCATCTGCGTAACGTGGTGGATGCAGAGGTTGACGAGCAGCAGGAGAAAGTTCGTCGCGACCTGGTTGGTCCTGCCGTGAAAGACGACCAGCATTTGGCATCTCGCGCTGAGGCGGGTACCAGGCATGGCGAGCACAAACGGCCGTTAGACCATCCCAATCCATTTGGTGCGCCAATGCACCGGACACGGGCCTCGGAATATCTGCGTCGCCGCTGCCCCGCATGCTTTGGGGATGTCAAGCATGATCCAAGTTCTACGTCAGTCTTTCTCCTGTATTCCGTGATGGACTATACTGATTGATTCATTCTATAGTGCGGATGTTTGTGTGTGCACGGACGCATGCTTCACACATAAGCGGGAGGCGGGAAACATGGATCCACCGAAGACACATCCCAGGAATGTCTTCCTCAACCCCCAGACCTGCGAGGATATGGAGCAGTATGTTGATGAAGTCCGAGGTAGCGGTCCTGCGCGAGAATCCCGTGCCCACAAACGCTGCCGGAGGGATGCCTCGACCTACTCCCCCTCGAAGGAACAGGTGGACAATGAGGATGAGGAGGAAGATCGCGTCGAGGAGGGCTTGCAGGTTCCCAAGTCCATTCTGGACAGCTGCGAGGAATCGTTCAGAGCGGCAGATGAAAGCCGGATGAGATCTGACGCCAGGGAATTTGACGACACTGGAGTCATGGTGTTGATCAAATGATGATCTTATCGTCTGCCAGATGGATGTCGTGATACACATCTATGACTCCATCACGTGTCATCTAGAGTCATGTCGACTCGTCCTAAATAGACACAAACAGCCCCCTGTATCATATATAAGGAGGGCTCTATTACCCTTTAATACAAGTCTCTTGACTACTCCCGCATAGTGCCCACACTAAGCTCTCACTCACACAGGTGAGCTGCTAGACGCTCTCCCCAGTGCTCAACAGGTTATGGGCCCCGAGAGCTATGTCTGCGCCTCAATGGCCGCGACATTCATTGTATGCGCCGTCACTGGCTGCAACGATGAACAGCGTCTTTAGCCTATCTGTATTCACTTCAGCTGCTGCACAGCGCTGGTGAAACCATGCCGGATCGCGATTACATCGCTTGATCCAGATGCATCGATCTCTCAAGGAGATTATGATCTATGAGGATCTGATCATCTTTATCTTTGATTTTATCTATCAGATTAGATTGATGCTGATCACTCACACAGATCAATATGTCGTCCAACTCCAACAACATCTTCAATGCTGTCTCCATCTTTGATGGAAAGCACTGGCTTGTCTGGTCCGGAACTATGGAGTCCTATCTGGAGCATCAGGGGATCTCATACGTGCTGACCGAGACCGCGCCAACCGAAGTCAAGGCTACGGATGGCTCTGTGACCAACGCATCGGAGATCAAGCAATGGAAGCATGATGATCTCAGGGCAAAGGGCAGCATTAAGTTGCGCCTGACTGAGGGAGTCATTGCCAACATTCCAACCGCCAACATAGTGTCAGCTGCCAAGATCTGGGAGCATCTGAAGACCCAGTACGGTGGTGCTCAGTGCGCCGACCTGTACGCGTACTTCCAAACCGCGTTGAACGCCAAGTACAACGTGGGGTTGCACCCTGATCCACAGCTGCTGGTGATCACTACGGCGTTCGCTCGCCTGGAGAACGAGTCTTTGAGCATCCCTGAGTTTCTCAGAGCGATGATCATTCTCAACATAGCCCGGATTCCCTCTGTCACGGAGACTGTTCTACAGACTTATGACAAGGACGAGATCAAAGTCTCGGCGGTTCGTGACGCTCTCTTGACGCATTTCGCTCAGAAGCAGTCTCAAAGCCAGAATCATGTGGCCAAGTTCAATACCAAGCGCAAGCGCGACGACCCTTCGTTCACCAATCAGCAACAGGGCTCTGGCTCTGCACCCGATAAAGGTGATAAGGCTGATGGAAAGAAGAAGAACCGTCGAGGCAAGCGCAGTGGGAAGAACAAGGACAACAAGGGCAAGGGCAAGGCTGATCACAGTCATGTCCATGGAGTCTCCGAGATCACTGGCTCCCTCACTATTGGTTCGATCGCCTCGCTCACTCCGTCTATCCCTGCGCCGACGATCTCGCATGTCACGCACATCTCTCGCGATGGACCCAAAATCCGCGCGGTTCAAGAGAAGTCTCCCGTCAACAACAATGGGATTATTGACACCGAGTTTCAGAAGCCTACTCGTAAGGTCTTCGAGCTGGCCAAAAAGATGGATGTGACGGTGACCGCAGAACGCTTCCGGACTCTCGACAAGATCGTCAATGAGAAAGGAATGCTCCGCGAGGACGCAATCATGCGTTCTCCATCTCCGGTTGCTTCCGGCTCGAATCACACGCTGGATGGTGGTCCTCCTGCCAAACGCAGTCGTATCGAGGAGATCCCCGACGTCGAGATGGCCACCGGCCAACAGAACGATCTTGATCTTCTGTTTGGAGATATCGAGTTCGCCCAGGCTGAACCGGTCAATTGGGATGAAGTCGTCGACTTCAACACCCTTCTGGAGGAGATGGACGCTCCTTCCGCCGAAAGGCAAGTACCCTGCCTTCTTGGGCACATGCACAATTCTGATTGTTGCTCACAGCCAGAGCGCGTAATCACCGCCGCCCCGGGTTCTGTACTTAATTCGTTGATGATTCGTTCGCATGATTTTTGTACCAATCTATTCTGTGTGCACTCCGATTTTGCTGCCTGCTCTAAGTGTAAGGGGAAACATCGTCATCATGAATTAGGGCCTCTATGGCTTCTTGATTCAGGTGCATCTCTCCATGTGACATCGGAGATTAGTGATCTGGTCGGATATGAGAAGCTCTCAGATCCTATTGTTGCTCAGACCGCTGATAAGAACACACGTGTTGCCCTTATTGGTCGAGGAACAGCCTTCATCGATCATTACGTCACAAGGCATGGAGAAAAGACAATGGTGACTTCTCAGATATATCCAGTGTACCTAGTGCCAGGATTACATGGTCGTCTCATGTCTTTGGGCTCCTTACTCAAAGGAGGATCTCGCGTTCGTGGAGACGAATCGCGGATCAGCTTACATCGAGGGAAGTCCCCACTCTCGATCATGGAGTTTAGAACTCTAGGGAAGGACATTGCATTGTACTTCCTGATGTCAAAGCCTAGTACGGCTGAGACAGTGCGATCCATGTCCACTGTTTACAAGGTGGATTATGAGATCATGCACCGGCGATTTGCACATCCGTCGAAAGACGTTTTACGTCAGGCAAAGAAGAATACCAAGGGCTTTCCAGAAGACCTAGTATTTCCCGAGGAAACCCGACCGTGTAAAGGATGCGCGCAAGGGAAAATGCACCAACGTGCCTTCCCGCCTTCCGAAAAACGAGCGGAGAATCCGTTTGATTTGATCCACTCGGATCTCAAACAATTTCCCACGGTGTCTTATCACAAGTACCGCTACTTCATGAGCTTCTTCGACGAAGCACTCTCCTATGGCTGGACAGTATGCCTTGCGCAGAAATCCGATGCCAAGGAGGCTATGCGCAATTTCATTGCGATGGTCAAGAACCAGTTCAATGTCACCATCAAAAAGTGGCATATTGACAATGGGGGAGAATTCATGGGGATGGGAATGGAAGAATTTCTCGCGGAACAAGGAATTCTAGTGGAGAAGGGTGCTCCATATGCTCACCAGCAGAATGGGCATGCCGAGCGCTTCAATCGTACGATCATGGATAAGGCAGAAGCCATGCGCTTCACTGCCTGTCTTCCTAATTCTTATTGGGAATTCGCTATCAAACATGCGACACGGATCTACAATATGACACCTATCAGGCGTCTAAAATGGAAAACTCCATTTGAAGCTCTTCACAAGGAAAAACCGGATGTTTCCGAACTCCGAGTCTTTGGTTGCGCTGCATATGTCTTTATCCCTGATGAGAAGCGCGCCAACAAGTTATCGCCCAAATCGGAGCTGATGACCTACTTGGGCATTCCTGATGGTGTGAAAGGATTTTTGTTCATGCGCACAAACAATTCCACGTTCGTCGCCACCAAGGCATTGTTCGACGAGGAGTTGTTCCCCCGCTGTCCTGACAGCAATCGACCACCCCACGTTCCTGTTGGAGAGGAATTTCCAGAACGTGATGACCCAGTGAATCCACAAGATCCACCACAGGTAGACGGAGAAGATTGGCTATATGGAGATAATCCTTTTCCATTTCCCATGCCATCTGATCCGGCTCCACCACCTCCCGTACAGGGAAATGATGATGGTGACGACGGTCATAATCGTCAGGACCCACCGCCAGAGCGTCGGGATGAACCTCAGAGGACTCGTAGAAGTAGAATTCCACGACCAAGTCGGGAAGCTTCACCAGCTCCTGAGCCTCGAAGGTCTTCACGCCAGCGGAATGTGCCTACACGTCCAGGAAACGTCTATGGGGAAAAGCGTACCCCTACGGATATAGTCCGTGACATTCAGAACAGCAGAGGATGGAAGCGGTATGTTGGTGAAGATAAGGGTAGCTCCCAATCTCAACCATCAACCAGTGCTGATGCAGGGGTTCCCGGCCCTAGCTCGCAACCAGATTCCTCAAACGCGGGTGCTTCTGATGATCTAGACGAGGATGCACGCATGGAGAAGCTATGCCGGGAAGGGGGAGTAGAGCTCATCACGGCGCTGCTGTCAAAAGCGGTTCCAAATGAGAACCTACCTGATACGTCCAAAATTCGCGATTGGACGTTCCGCGATATCAAGCGGTTGCCTTCTGAACAACAGAAAGGTTGGATTGATGCTTGCCGCGACGAGTTAGAGGCACTTCGTCAGCGCAAGGTCTATTCCCTTGTGGACCGCCCGAAAGGACGGAAGGTTATCAGATGTCGCTGGGTCTTTGACCAAAAATCTGATGGCCGAAAACGTGCCCGCCTAGTTGCCAAGGGTTTCAGTCAAGTCGAAGGTGTTGACTATGACGAGATATTCTCTCCTGTTGTCAGGTATGAGACGTTCCGGTTGGTCATGGCGCTTGCAGCGCTCAATGATTGGCATTGGTCTGGACTCGATGTCAGTAAGGCTTTTCTCTATGGAGAGCTTGACGAAGAGGTCTACATGGAACAACCCGAAGGCTTTGTGGCGAGAGGCCAAGAGCGCAAAGTCATGCGCTTGCACAAGGCAATCTATGGACTTAAACAAGCTGCTTTAGCATGGTGGAAAGCGCTGACCAAGTCCACGAAAGCCATGGGCTGGATCCGACTAACATCGGATGCCGGCGTGTTCTTCTACAAGGACTCTGATGGCAGCATAGCCGTCATAATAGTCTATGTGGATGATGCTCTGTTCTTCTCCAAGAACAAGAAGCTCCTCGCCTTTCTCAAGGCTGAGTTCAACAAGCGATGGGAATGCCGCAATTCTGAAGATACTCCAGAGTTCTTGCGCGTGCGCCTCAGTAGAGTAGGATCTTCGATCAAGATTGATCAGATTCCTTATCTCGACAAGGTGCTAGAGCGCTTTGGGATGCAGAACGCCAAGTTCGCAGCGACCCCTCTACCGGCTGGATATGTTCCAATGCCAAATGAGGATGAAGTCGATCCAGAGCTCAGGAAGAAATTCCAATCAGTCATTGGATCTCTTCTCTTCATCATGCTAGGCACACGTCCTGATATTGCATTTGCTGTGACCAAATTGTCACAATTTGCCGCCAATCCGTCCCAAGACCACCTTCATAAAGCGCTGTATATCTGCCGCTATTTGGCTGGTACTAGGAATTATTCGCTCATTTTCAATGGTGCGACGGATAGAGGGCTAATTGCATTTAGCGATTCAGACTGGGCTGCTGATCCGATCAAGAGGAGGTCTACCACTGGTTTCTTCACGAAATTGGCAGATGGGATTATTTGCTGGCAGTCTAGACTTCAGCGCACAGTCGCGCAGTCTTCAACCGAAGCAGAGTACATGGCGATTTCAGATTGTAGTCGCCAGGTGATGTGGCTGAAGAGCGTCCTTTCGGAACTCCAGTTCAAGCTCACCATCCCAGTACCCATTTGCGGTGACAATCAGGGTGCACTCTTCAGTGGCAGCAATGCCTACCGAGACCGCAGGATGAAACACATAGACATCCGCTATCACTACATTCGTGAGCGAGTCGAGGAAGAAGAGGTTGAACTGTTCTTTATTCCGGGCAGTGAGAATCCTGCAGATATGTTCACCAAGAACCTAGGACGCGTCAAGTTCGAGAAGTTCAGGTCTCAACTAGGACTTGAGTTCAACTCGTCCTGAAGGAATGGCCGATGAAGATTTCGCTTTCAAACACTATCCCGTGGTTTTCAGCGTGGGGGAGTGTTGATCAAATGATGATCTTATCGTCTGCCAGATGGATGTCGTGATACACATCTATGACTCCATCACGTGTCATCTAGAGTCATGTCGACTCGTCCTAAATAGACACAAACAGCCCCCTGTATCATATATAAGGAGGGCTCTATTACCCTTTAATACAAGTCTCTTGACTACTCCCGCATAGTGCCCACACTAAGCTCTCACTCACACAGGTGAGCTGCTAGACGCTCTCCCCAGTGCTCAACACATGGCGCTCCTCTGTCGCCATGATCGCGTTCTGTGGATGGCAAACATGAAGTCGAAGGGAGAGAAGCAATTCTACGTTCTCGCCCTTCTCGAAACCTTGTTCCAGCACCTCCCAGACGATGTGATGGTGGCCATTCTCTATGACATTGCCTGCCAACTCCATCGCTCCCTGCACAAGTGGGGCTTCCTTGCCCCGTTTATCACCCGGATGGTTTTTGCGGTCGCGGTCTTCCATGCCTTTGTGCACCGCCTGGAGTGTCAACTTCGGTATCACCCTTGGAAACGGGAGGGGCTGGGATTTACTAGTGGTGAGGGATGTGAGCGACTGTGGCATCAGCTCAGTCGCCTGATTGGCCATCTCCGTATCTCCGGGGTAAGTCGATTCCATTCGTTGCAGTTGCGCAAGAACTCACAAGTCTGCAGTCCTATCATCGATTGTATACATTGAATGCCCAAGTCCAATTCATTGAACAGAACAGCCTTCGCACATTGGGCGCTTGGATATCTCGTCGGCAGGCTTTCAGCGACGAGAAACGCGAGATGGCTCAAGCCATCCTGGCCCATGTTGCCACAAAGGGCTTCGATCGCGATGCATTGGCCAAGCAATGGGATCTTCAAGTGGAAGCACAGACAAAGCCGCATCCCAGTATGCCGCCCCCACGCCCGTTTAGTGCATCTCTCACCCTGAATTGACAGATCGTTCCAAGCGCCTCGGGATTGAGGCGGTCAACGAGGTGCTAGCGCTTCGCGAGGAGAAAAAGTGCGCGCGCGTGCGCGTGGAAGAGGCTCAAGAAGCCTGGGACAATGCTTCCGAGGCTGAGGAGCATTCCCGGCTGATGGCGCGGTCAGCGCTCCTCGAAGCCAAGATGGATCTCGAGTCCATTGAGGAATCTCTCAAACAGAAGGAGGCGGCGCTTGGCATAGACAGCAGGGCGAGACTCAATAAAGCAAAGTCTAATAAGTTCTTCGAGCAGAGAATGAATGCCCTTGCACTGAAGACACGGATTCGTGATCTTCTGCGATCTCGGAACATGGAGCTGTCAGAGTTGAAGAGATCAGGTCATCGGCAGCAAGGTTCCTCTGGTGAGCGACACCTGACTGGGGGTGGATCAATGCACCAACTGACCTTGTTCGCCAGATTGGAAACTTCGGAATGCGATTGCTTCATCAGTAAGCAAGAGGCTGCCACGCATTCGGCGACTTGTGGGGGAGTTCAACAAGCTCTGCGCAAAGCTAGCGGACATGGCCATCCACAATCAGGCACCCAGAGGAGCCAAGATACCCGTTCCAATAGTCACAAAGAAAGTCCCAAACCTCGATGTCGATGACAAGATCTGGGATGATGTTGGGTTGACAGATGAGGACTCCAGTAGCGCTCCCCCCGACTGGTTGGTAAACGAATCGGTCAAGGAGGGTATCAAGGCTCTTCTTGACGAGAGGCGCGCATTGGAAGAGGATCGGTTCCTGCGCAACGAGCGGAGGTCGATGAAGGCATGGTTTCAAGAGGAATGGTCAGTGATCAACCATGCTATCTGCACTGCAGGTGAGTCCGTGGGATGGCTCCTCGTGGATTCTGTTGATGACAAGCCCAGGTGACCCCGCTTTACAATACCAGTTCGAGATTCGACGGGTGAAATTGATTGAGCTCTGTGCGGATTGGCGCAAAGATTTGCCAGCCGAGGACTTTGAAACCAATTGGGGTCCCTCCGACTCGGACTTGAGTCAGGCTCAAGAAAAGATGCACCAGCGGCACCGGAACGGTGACCCGGTGAACAGTGACGAGCTCTCAGTCATTCAGGAGGATGTGTGTGAGAACGATAGCTGGGAGTGGGGGGGACCTGAATGACTATTTTGCCATGTATCTATTTTGAACCCGTGATGCGTTTGCCATGCCAGTAATGAATGAAGTGTGACGGGGTTGCAGTGAGGTTAAAGATTTGAATGCCAAGGTTGGTTGGAAAGGAGAATCGGTCGCAACCAACAATTCTGGAGGGTGGTTGGGACCCATGCAAGATGAGAAGGGTGGTACCGACCAAGGAGAGCACTTTCAGATGGTCGCCACCAGCCATTCAGAGAGGGTGGTTGGGACCTTTGCTCAAGGGAGAGGGTGGTATGGGCCATCGAAGAATTGGTAGGGTGGGCGCGAGCAGAGGGATCTACGTGCAATCTGCAGTTGGTATACGCACTCAGCTGTCTCTGCAGCTGTGTGGCATTTCACAGCAGATGATCACAGGAGGTTCAGTGAGGACATTATGATGTCTTCCTGGTCACCCAGCTGCTGCGTCATCACGTTCAAGAATGCTGAGAATATGAGTGTGAAAGCACTGACAGAAAAACACGTATGGTTTCAGGAGGTTCTGACCAGTGAAGCCCAACCAAGGGAGGGCAACGTTGAGTTGGAAATGGGGAATCTGCATGAAATCACTCAAATGTACTTCCAGCAGCAAAATATCACACCACCGGAGCGGGGAGTGGTTCAAGGGCCAGCCAGGGACTGAGAGAAGCGTCCTCAGCTTGGCATCGGCTATATTTCGCAACAATGAAGATTTTTACCTGCTGTATGGCCCATAAAAGCGACCTAGAAAAGCAATGGGAGCATTGTTGAAATTTTTCTTTCCCGGCCTATGGTCGGCCCTAGGACTGGGCACAGCATTCCTGCCTTGCAATGGGCTGAACAGTACCGATCTACAGGCTAAGAGACCAGTACAAAAAGCCTGCAAGGGCAATGGGAGCATTTGTAAATGTGTGCGCAGAGGGTGGTTCCGCCCGGTTTCTGATCAAAGTGGTCGGGACCACCCATTTTCCCAACGTGCGCTTTCAGGGCCTACAGCCTGCCCTGAACCGTGTGCAGCATCCTCAGCTCTGCAGATGCGAGATTTTGAACCGATTTCCGGGCCTACAGAATTCGCCGCGGGACCCCCGCAGATCTGGCCCAGCGGGACCCCTGAGAAATCCAAGTCCCGCTCTTGACGACAACGGCGCTGTAAGATGTTCCGTCAACACTGGCATAGAGTCTGAAGTAGTAGAAATATATCCCCATGCGTTGCATCATTCGTAGTGTGGACATCGTTGAGGACGACGAGGTCGAAGAGTCGGGTCCCGCGGGAATCTACCTAAAGCGGGACTAAACCCAGCGGGACTCCAGCGGGAATGGAAAATGACCCCGCGGGACTCCAGCGGGAGTGCTTAACCGGTGTGCGGGACTCCAGCGGAGGTCGAGCAGGTCCCGCGGGACTCCAGCGATGGCCCCACTCGACCCCGCGGGACTCCAGCAGTCGTCTCACATGCCCCGCGGGACTTCAGCGGAGGTCCAGCAGAGGTCCAGCAGGTGTGAAGACTGCGGGATCCTCTGCTCACCGTCACAATCCGGGAGTGCTGCTCTTTAAGGTCACTGCCGCACACCGCCGTGCCTATCGTCGTCGCACATTAAAGTCACATCATCATCGTGCACGTCGTGTCAATTCCACAGCCACCTCATCATCATCGTGCTCGTCGCACTGCACATCAAACATCACAGCCACATCGCATTCCTGCTCATCGTTGGCAACAACAACGACGATCATGTTGATAATAATAATTTCATATTATTAGTTAGCCTGACAGCTAGACACTAATACAACTTGTCTTTGAATGATTTAAGTCTGGGAGACCGCGCCTTAAATGGGGAAATTCATTCTAAGTAAACCTCAACCTGTGTGCATTCACAACAACAGGTTGTCTAGAATTTACCATGGGACGCCATTGGGCCAACCCAGCGGAGGCCCAGCGGACCTCACTTTATTTGTTGACAGACCGCCGCTCTCAACAACGATGACAAGTACAGTATGGTGTGTATTTCAATAGGTAGTTACACCTAAGTTGTTCAGTCTAGTGGGATGGTAGTCTATGTGTAACAACAAAATAGTATTCAACAATGTCTAGCGGTGGTCCCCGATCGAGCGGCGGGAGTGCTAGCGGGATCTGCGGCGGTCCTGCGGTGGTGCAAGTTTTGTCCTGCGGGACCCCAGCGGAACTCCAGCGGGACTCCAGCGGGTCCCAGCGGGTCCCGCGGCTAATTCATGTAGCCCCCGATTTCCGTGTCTATAAGCTATATGGCCCAAAAAAGCAACCCAGAAAAGCAATGGGAATATTTTCGAAAACTTTCTTTCCCAGCCTATGGCCGGCCCTGGGACGAGCCGCAGCATCCTCGGCTCGGCATGGGCTATATTCCGTACCGATGTACCCGTCTATCAGCTATATGGCCTGTACAAGCAGCCTACACTAGCAATGGGAGCATTTTCGAAAATTTTCTGTCCCGGCCTACGGCCGGCCCTGGGACTGGGCCCAGCATTCCGGCCGTGCAATGGGCTGAACGGTGCCTATCTACAAGCGAGTAGCCCGATACAAACAGCTGACAAGGGTAGCTGGAGGATTCGCAAATGGGTGAGGAAAGGGTGGTTCCGCCCAGTTTCAAATGTCAGTGGTCGGAACCACCCACTTTCCCAATATGTGCTTTCGGGGCCTACAGCCCCCCTGCGGCCGGGCACAGGGTCCCGGAGTATATATACGGGAGGTACGCATCCATGGATCCCTGAGACAAGCTGGATTGCGCAAAGAAGCAGCCTAGAGCAGTAATGGGAATATTTCGAAAATTTTCTTTCCTGGCCTACAGCCGGCCCTGGGACCGGGCCCAGCATTCCTGCCTTGCGATGGGCTAAACAGTGCCTATCTACAAGCTAGTAGCCCGATACAAACAGCTGGCAAGGGTAGCTGGAGGATTCGCAAATGGGTGAGGAAAGGGTGGTTCCGCCCAGTTTCAAATGTCAGTGGTCGGAACCACCCACTTTCCCAATATGTGCTTTCGCGGCCTACAGCCCCCCTGCGGCCGGGCACAGGGTCCCGGAGTATATATACGGTAGGTACGCATCCATGGATCCTTGAGACAAGCTGGACTGCGCAAAGAAGCAGCCTAGAGCAGTAATGGGAATATTTCGAAAATTTTCTTGCCCGGCCTATGGCCGGCCCTGGGACGAGGCGCAGAATCCTCGGCTTGGCATGGGCTATATTCCGTACCCATGTACCGGTCAATCAGCTATATGGCCTGTACAAGCAGCCTGGAGTGGAAATGGGAGCATTTTCGAATTTTTTTTCCCGGCCTACGGCCGGCCCTGGGACTGGGCCCAGCATTCCGGCCGTGCAATAGGCTGAATAGTGCCTGTCTACAAGCTAGTAGCCCGATACAAACAGCTGGCAAGGGTAGCTGGAGGATTTGCAAATGGTTGAGGAAAGGGTGGTTCCGCCCACATTCCGCTCCCCTGGGTCGAAACCACCCACCAGAGCGAGCGCGGGGTGGTCGCAACCACATGCGGTCGGGACCACCACTGGTGCCACCACGGGTCAAATAATGGTCCTGACCACCAGGAGCTGAATGGGGATGGGTGCGACCAACTGGCGAAAACTGGTCAAGACCGCCCTTTTTCAGTGGTCCAGATGGCCTGGCTACCCGATTTGGGAAGGGTGGTTGTAGCCAAAAAGCGGTTGGTCTGAGACCACGAAGTGGTCTTGGACCCTCTTAAGGCTAAAAAACGACCACTTTTGGTACCCTATTAGGCTCAAAAACCATCTGACTATAGTGACGCCCGCTATATCCTCTTAACCCTTATCACCCCACTCACCCTTTTACCGAATCGTCTAGTCGTCCTCCACTATCGCAGTGAAGGGTTCATATCAAGCAAACAGCACCAGGCCACGGGTAACGTTGAGCCCGACCCAAGCCTTACGGTAGCTACAAGGAGTGCTGCGGAGACCTTCGGGAAAACGCACCTCGGGATCATCGGGCACGTGAAGAGCTAGGCCCGGGATCTTTTTGCTAGCAAAAGAACCCTCCCTCGAGTGCTTGTACAGCACACGATTCCACCATTTCGTACCGATTCCCATCATCGTCTGGGAGTCCGTCCCCTCCCCCCATCGTACCATCGTCGCCCGATCTGGCGCATCAAAACCAACCCGGGCCCTCCAACCCCTACCTCGCCCTCCCACCGCCTGAAGACGAGATCCCCGACCTCGACGAACTGCCCTCCGAACAACCACCCTCGCCCCCACCTCACACGCCTGCTCCTACCATGTCAGGGCATCACCGCATCACCCTCGCCGCCAATCCCCCCTACTTCGATGGCGACAAGTCCAAATACCTGGGCTTTGTGGACGTGTGCACCACCTACATCGGTGCCTATCGATCGGAGTTCTCGCAGGATGAGACCAAAATCCTCTTCGTCCTCTCCTACCTCCGTAACGAGAATGGCACGAGCTGCGCTGCCTCGAGATGGGCGATGAACTGGAAGCAGCACAACTTCGATGGCTTCCAGGGACTGAAGGCAGGAGTCACATCAAAGAACTTCCTGGAGGAGCTTCAGAGGGCGTTCGGGGACTCCAACGCGGAACAAGTCGCCGCTGCTCGGCTTATGGCCCTGCGCCAAAACAAACGGTCCTTTGCGGACTACATCTCCGACTTTGAGATGTTGGCTGCGGATGCAGGCTACAATGTGGTTGACACCACCGACGACAAAGGCGAATACAAGAAGGGGGACCAGGATAATATCCTCATCGAGTTCCTGGAGCGCGGACTCAGCAGCGAGATCGCCAGTCGTCTCTACAACACCGGTGTCCCTCTGCCCAAGGCCTATGGAGCGTTCAAAGCCTGGTGCATCAACATCGAAGCCAACGCTCTGCGTGACCAGCTGCACAAAGTGTCGTATGGGCACCCCACACAACGACCACCTCCCCAGTTCCGCCCCCAAGCAGCACCAGTGGCGCCCACACCCGCTCCGGCCCGACCCGCTGCCAACGAACCGGTTCCGATGGAAATCGATCGTACCCACGCCCGCGGCCGCAATATCATCTGCTACAACTGTCAGCAGCCTGGGCACATTGCGCGGAACTGTCCGGAACCAAGGAAGAAGCGTACATTCTTCAATCGGGCCACGATGCTTGAAGAGATCGAGAACGGGGACAAGGACAACGAGTTCCTGAAGGAGATTGCCGAGAAGCTGCGCGAGAAGGGTTTTTGAAACGCTCCACTCCTCTAGCCAAGGAGGTGGAGCGTCCGGACTATGGACGATTTTCTGTACTTGTTTCGATTAAAGATACGGACAATATTTCATCTACATACACGATCTCAGACTCACTACGTACAAATATTCACGATTTTCTTATTGCCGAGATGGAAAAAGAACGCCAGGAAAAAATAGCTCTAAATAGAAAATACTTACAAGATAAAAAGGATCAGAAGACCGCGGCTGTAGATAAATTATTTTTAGACTCCTACCTATTTATGGCTCGTGGAGAAGGAACCACGTCAACAAAGACCGAAAAGGGGAGCATCGCTCCGAAGGCTCGATCCTTGGAAAAGGAGGAAGCGCCCAAGGAATCGGCCAAAATCGAGGTTCCAGAAGCACCCAAACGCACCAGGGTGCCAGATGCCGTCCAGAGGAAATTGGCGGCCGAGAAACAGAAGGGCCCCCAGCCCAGCAGATTGGCGCAGGAATTGCGCAGTTACCAAGCCGAAAGAAAGAGGCATTCGATGGACGTATATGTCCAGATCACGGGCCTGGACTCAGGGAAAACACGTGGAGTCAAGGCGCTGCTCGATAGTGGCTGCAGTACCTGCTGCATCGATACCGACAACGCACGGGCAGAAAAGCTGGATATCCAAGTGTGACGGAAGCGTCCTTGAACGGGTTCCGGCACAAGAGATTGGGTAGTCAATCCGTTGGGTAACAGGGATAAGCTTTCTTGAATTGACTAGCGTACCGATCCTACGCTACTAAGTACTTATACTCGATCGAATTATCTACACAAACAAACACACACACACACAGGGGAGTCAGCAGGTTAAGGTAATCAGGAAGAGGAGCATTCCGTTACATACGCCCTCCAGCTCGACGCTCGCGGCGAGCTCAAACCATCTCATCGTCACCCCCCGCCCCGCTCTCCACCGCCGCTCTCTCCGCGGCCAAACGATTTGCCTTCGCTTCTTCGATGCGCTGGCGGCGCTTAGCGATCATCGCTCCTCCGTTCACGCCAGTCGCGTAGTCTTCAGTCGACACGGGGGTGTCCTTCTCAGCGAGGCGTCGTTCTCTCGCTCGGCGAATTGCCCGGTCGCGTCCAATGATGGCTTCGCGGCCCTCTTCGTATTCGGCAATTGTGATGGTGATAGTGCCAGGGGCGACACGGCCAACCAGGTAGTCATCCGAGCACAGGCCGTCGTAGACTGTGGGTACGTATTGCTCGGCAAAGACGATCCCACCGCTCTCATCCACCGAAGCGAACGACCAGCTCTTGCCGTCGTACATATTGCAAGCTGCCCCGAGCTCCGCGATGCCGACCGGTCCTCGGCCATACACGGTGCCGTCAAAGTCTGGGTTGTTGACGGCCTCGTTCCACAACAGGCACTGCTTGAACTGGTGTGCCGTGAGGAGCGTATCGCCGTCGTTCAGGTGGACGACTAGGACGCTGGGCGTGACCCACTTCAGGGTCCCTTTATGTTTCAGGTTGAACTCGTGGTGCTGCGGGGTAAGTGTCTCGTCTGCCTTGGTCCCACCGCTGACTATGTTGCCTGCGTACTCGTTTTGCGTATGGGGGGCAGTCATCGAGGTGTCGGATAGAACGGGAGGAGGGAGGAGGTGAAAACGAGGCGGCAGACCCCTCTCGCCGTTCCTATTTGTCCCACTTTTCTCCTCCCCTATCTGCGCGAACCGCGTGCTTCCGACCTGCAGCTCGATCGGTGGAGCCTCCTTCGCCCCCTTCAGCAGTTGGGATATGTCGTTGATCCCCAACACATCGAAGTAATCCTGCAATATATTCAATTGACTCACTTGCTGATACGGCATCCAGGTCAGGTCCCCCGACCTCCACTTTATTTCGAAGAGGGCTCGTCGACGACTGCCGGAGTGCCCAACGACTCGCTCCACGGCCCATTCTGAATCCGTGGCGGCGTCCGCTACGTTCAACTGGTTCTCCAACCGGCCAGGAAATCGCCGGTCATCGTTCGGTACATGTATCCGCAACAGGGACGCGTGGAAAACGTCGTGAAGACCCCTCTGAATCAGGTTAGGGGGTAGTTGCACCCGGTACGAGGAATTCCCGAAGTCATGTGTGACTCGGTAGGGTCCAATGAATTTGGGTAGTAACTTTCGCGCCAGTCCCTTCTCGAACTGAATATTCTTAGTGCTCAGATACACCAGATCGTCTTTCTGGAACGGCGCGGGCAACCTTTTGCGGTTCGCCGTCCGAATGTACTTCACCCGCGATGCCAGAATCGCGTCATGAGCTGCCATGATGGCCAGACGTCGCTGCAATAAGAAATTGGCAATTCCGGGGAATTCCCTAGATTTATCTGATTCCCACAACAGTGATCGGGGCATCGTGCCGTTGTTCAGGAAGAACGGCGAATATCCAGTGGTCTCTGATCTCGCCATGTTCATGGCGAACTCGACTGCAGGTAAGCGAGTCACCCAATCCTTTTGTCTGTTGTTCACACATTGCCTAAGCAGCTGCGTCACCGTTCGGTTGGCCCGCTCAGTTGCGCCGTCGGTTTCTGGATGGTAAGCGCTGGACATCTTCAGCTCCGTGCCGACGAGCTCATGCAATCGTTGCCAGAACTTGCTCGTAAACAGGACGTCTCGATCGCTTATAATCGCGTTTGGTAAGCCATGGTGCTTATACACGTGTTCGAACATTAACTCTGCGAATTGTTTCGCAGTGTAGTTCACCCGGCAGGGTATTAAGTGAACCATTCCGGTGAGTAAGCACACCACTACTGCGATGGAATTGAAGACGCTGTCCCGGTTCTTCGAGTTGGGCAAGGGCCCCACGAAATCAACGCCAATGGCTTCCCATGGTTTTTGAGGGGTAGAGAGGGGATTCAGTAGACCATAAGGTGCGTGGTTGTTCGGTTTACTCCTCTTACAAACTGAGCAAGACTCGCAATAGGCCTTTACGTCGTTCACAAGATCCTTCCACCAGACGTGCTCCCGCATGTAGTCGACAGTCTTTCGTGGTCCTAGATGAGCCAAAACCGAGTGCGCCTCGGATATGACAATCTCTCGGATAGATCGCCCATTATACTCCAGCCGTGGAATACACAAAGCCCTGTGTTCCCTATCCTTTATGTACACTAGGTTGTCTTTAAATTCGAAGTTCTTGTGTTCCTTCGGTCGTTCGACAATGTTTTTGAAGAACGTGTCTTCTGCAAAGCGACCGCGAATGAACCCCACCAAGTCTAGTCCATCGTTTCCTTGGCTGATCACTGGCATCAGCGACGGGTCCGTTTTATCAATTCGAGATGTCATCACGGTCTCCAGGTCCGAGGCCCGATCAGCGGAGGCAAATGTATTGACAGGTGGCTGTGACCCGCCCTCCTGCTGCTCGCTTGCCTTCTTCGTTAACTTTTCCTCGACTTTCTTTCTTTTGTGTGGTTCCCCGCCCTCCTTCTCGTCCACTGGGCCGAGAACTTTTTCTGACGAGCTTCCTGGGGCCGGCGCCGGTATCCTGCCTGTCGACGGGCCCTTCGCTCGCTCCAGCAAGGCATTTGCCGCCGCGGCGTCCGCCCTCGTTTTCGACCTCAGCACCCTGTCGGAGGAGACAGCCATCGCTTCCAGGCCTGTAATTACGGGCATCGATATGTTGTGTACTCCCAGTAAGTCGTTATCAATCACGTCGTGATATGTATACTCTGATCTGGCCCGCACGGTCCCCGGCGTTTCGTTTGAATACATCCGAGACAGTGCATCTGCTAGGACGTTCTCCGGGCCAGGCACATACATTACTTCAAAGTCAAAGCTGGATATCTTCTCCACCCATCGTGCCTGGCGGCCCGACAGATTTGGCTGTTTCAGCAGGTGCGTTAGCCCTTTGTGGTCCGTCACCCACTGGAACCGACACCCCTGCAGGATATCACGGTGCCGTAGCATCGACTCGACGCCTGCGAGCATCTCAATTTCGTGTACAGGGTAATTTTGCTGGGCTGAATTAAGCTTCGCCGAGTAGAATGCCGCCACTCGACCGCTCTTCCAGTCTTTTCCTTGGCACACGACGCCTGATACCCCAGTGGCGCACCCGTCCGTCACTAGGAAGATTGGGTCCGCGTCCGGCCCGTAGTTGAGGGGAACTCGGTGATGGTCCCGTAAGCCCGAAACTATCTGTTTTATGTCTTCGAATGCACGCTGATGCGTATAACCCCAGCGGAACGGGACCGTATCTCCGGTTAGACCATGCAGAACTCCCATCGGAACCCGAACCCGCGCCAAGTCGTCGGCCAGGTACCCTACTGATCCCAGGAAACCCCGCAGTAAGTCGCGATTCGTCGGTGTTTTCCAGTTCAGGACTGTGTCAACCTTCTCAGATTCCATCCGGATTCCCTGATCGGTGATGACGCGGCCAAGGACCTTCATCTCCGGCCTCAAGAACTGGAGTTTGTTCTCTCCCAAGTACAATTTCTCCCTTTTCAGTACGTCGATCACTAATTTTACGTGCTTCTTATGGTCATCTAACGTTCCCGAGTAGATGATTATGTCGTCTAGATAAACGTCCATGAAACGGCCTATATAATCCGAGAACAAGTAGTTCATCAGGGATTGATAGGTCGCAGGTGCGTTACAATCCCCTGGTTGCAACACAAGGCTGACCATGTTCCCGTCAGGGGTGGTCATGGTTGTACGATTCACATGTTCTGGAACCACGCGTATCTGTTCGTACGCGTCCTGTCCATCAATCAGTGACCTAAACTTACAACGCGCTACGCGACGCAGAATACCGTCCATGTCCGGTAGTGGGGACGCCATTTTGCGAGTATTAGCGTTCCGCTCACGGAGATCCACCACCACACGAAGACGAGGAGGGTTGGATTTGGCTTTCGGGATAAGAAGCATAGGTACGGTGTTTCCAGCATTAGTTATTTTCCAACGCCCCGTTTTTAGATACACACGCCGTTTCTCGTCCCACTGGGGACGCAACGCATCCGGGCACCTTGACATCCGCCAAGGCATCACTTTGCCCGGGTCTATCAAGGGGATGGTATGGTTGATGGCGCGCAGCGGAGGTAACTCGGTTTCCGCCGCTACCTTACACACATCTTTAGCGTAACCCCGCAGTTCCTCTCGGGCTTCTTCCAGTTCACCAGACTCCACCTCCATGGAACCCGTGTGCACGCGTGCTGTGGCCACCCCCTCCAGCGGCAGCGGGCCAGAGCTACCAATGCATACTCGTGAAGGGTTGAATCCGACGCTTACTCGGTGCTGAAACAGCCAGGCCGTTCCAAGTATCATATCATATCCGCTGATATTCGCCACGAAGAAGGTTCGTGGTCCATCAATGTCCTGGTATTTCATATTCACTCGGGTAGTATAGTTGATCTTGGATCGGGAACCTTGCACTGCCAGCTGAAGGGTGAGCGGCTCCGCCAAGTTCTTTAATGGCAGCCGCAGCTGATCCGCCGTGGTCGTTGAAATCAGGTCACCCAGTGATCCCGAGTCTATCAAGGCCCGGAGCGGGTGCCCGTTCACCTGGACGACTACTATCACCGGTTTGGCGACAACTGTATTCTGGGGGCGGGGGAGGGATGCTGACCGGGCCAGTCCTGGCAACCTATCAGCTGGAACCTGGACGCCGTGGCATGCCAATGGGACGGGTTCACTTGGTCGCACGTGCGATCCCCACCACTCGTCTGGCGGGATCAACGGGTACGTCGCCAATGCAGCCCTCTTACGTCCTTGTCTTTCCTGTCGCCTTGCCAACAGGTTGATCAGGTCCAGGTCCGCGTTCAAGAGCTGATCTCGCGGCACGCTAATTCGGGCCAACCGTCCTTCCTCCTGTTCTTCCTCGAACACGTACTCGCATGGCACGTCGCTTTTTCCCGGGTTCTCTGTCGCGAATCGAGGCTCAATGTTTGTGTAACCTCCACAATTCACAGGGTCTTCCTTAATCATATCTTCCAGGTAGAACCCAAGCTGAATGCCCAGGAGGTCGTCAACGGCTATCTGGTGGGCTAGGCTGGCCCGCTCAATCGGGATGTCCAGCCGTTCTGCAACCCTGTCAGCGTACCAAGCCGCCAGCTCAAAATCTCGACTCTCGAGCAAGTGCTGCGGCAGATACGTCCACAAGCCATTGGCCTGGTCCCTTATTAGGTATCCGCTCCCACCCCAGGACGACTGTAGTGAGAAGCGCTGGTCAATCCAGCCCGGTGCGTCCTTATCAAGCAGAGTGTCTCCGGGGTAGGGCTGACCAAACTCTAGCAGGCTTTGGGCTCCCTCTGCCATGAGATCACCAAGTTTTCGGCTGCACTGGTCTCTTGGCCGTCGGACGGGTGAGCCTTGGCCTTGTCGCGAACGCACTGATTGTGATTGTGCCTCAGGTGCACTGGTTCCAGGCCCTTCTGGCACCCCTTGGGACTTCAGCGACAACTCGGGCAGAAGTCCCGCCTCGTGAGTTGCCTCTACCCACGTTTGCCATGAAGCCTCCACTGACTCGTCTTCGCTTTCCTCCTCCTCTTCCTCAGAGTCGCTGGACTGCTCCAGCTGTGGAGGAACGTCATCCAAAGTGCCGCTGTCATTCCTAGTTATAGATGTAGGACTCAGGTGTATTTCGTACCACTGGCGCAAGTCAAAATTTTCACTTCTAAGGAGTGATTTCTGGATGCATAATCCAGCGCTACTACTAGCTCGACGAAACAACAAGGATCCAGCAGATATCTCCTGCCCCTCCCACAGCGGGACGTCACCGTCATTGGGGTTCCCCCTAAACGACTCCATCTCGTACTGCTGTGATAGGATGAGGGTCATGGCGAGAGTTGAGTTTCCCAACGTACGAAAGTAACGCTCCGGAAGTACCAGCCCCGGGGCATCGGTGGATGCCCTGGGCCAGATAACACTTCTGAGCCCAATGCCAACCCAGCTGGAACTCCGGGTCCTCCAAACAATCGGCGTGTACGATCTCGTCACCCTCCAGGATGTTCAGCGGGGTGCCGCAATCCAGTATGCAGTAGTAGTCCGCGTTGTGCACCCGGTAGACCAGGAAACGGTCCTCAGTTGGTTCAGACCCATCGTCGCCTGGAAAGGGAGCGCACCGTTGTAGCACCAGACAGGCAAAGCGCGCTACCAGGTCTCCTGTGCCTGTTCCTGCTCCCGGCGACTCCGTCCCTACCGACATGGATTCGATGGTCTGGTCCATGAGGCCCAGCGCTGGTCGAGCTCGACGCTCCTCCGGCCCCAGTGACAGCGCCTCCATCCCTTCGGCTAACATCTCCATTTCCGGGCACGTTGGCCTATCCGTTCCTCGTGCCAAGTATTCCAGCTCGTTGATGTCGGCGCAACTGATATCTTCCCAGTCGCTTGGCTCTGATCTTGACGATTCGGACTCCGAGAACTGCTCCAGTATCTCGCCTGCGTCATGGACAACTAACGGGAAAGCGCTAGCAACGTCCAGCGTTTCAAACACTTCAGTAGTTTCGCCTAGAGAAGCCAAGCGCAAGCTTACACCGTGGGCTCCAAAGCCAGGCGGCTTGCCTTTGACCTTGGACTTCATTGTGGTGAGCTTAGGGCAGCTCCTCGCCATGTGGCCAGCTTCTTCGCAGTTGAGGCATACTCCACGAGTCATAAGCTCGGCTCGCTTCTGAGGTGAAAGCCGTCGCTCCCAAGGTCGGTCCGCGGTGTTGTCGCTGCTCCTAGTCGAGGTGTGGGACGGAGACGGGGCAGTGGCCGGTGGAGGGTAGTGACGAGAGACCGGCTTTGGACCATTCTCCCGGGGTGGCATTACCGCGGCTGCAGAAGCCTTGATAACACCCCGTTGTCTCCGAGGGAAAAACTTCTTCTTCTTGACGTCTTGTCCGCCGCTCGCCGGCCCTGGCCCAGAGCCAGCGGCGTTGTTGCTCGGTACGCTCTTGCTCTTACGCCTTCTGTCAAGGCTCAAAAACCGCTCAGCTCTAATTGCCTTCTTCACGACACGGGCCCACTTCGACTTCTCCGGGTCCAAGCCGAACCGGAATAATTCCTCTTGGATATCAGCGTCGAAGCTGTTCCACAGCAAGGCCACACGCTCGCGGTCCTTCTTCAGGCCGATCTGTAGCATGATGCTCTCCAGTTCCAGGACGTGTTTATTCACCGACTTCCCGTTCTGGTGACAACGGGTAAGTCGCTTCCGTTGTTTTTGTCTGTAATCCAATGAGAAACAGTACTTCAGAAGGCGCCGCAGCATTTTTTTCAATGTCCATTTATGCTCCTGGCCCCGGATTCTTCGATTATAGAAATCCTTTGCATCCCCGTCTAAGAACGAACCTATTATCGGGACACGGTGAGCCTTCGGCACATTCCCCAGCTCGCAGTAACGATTCGCCTCGTCCACGAACTGGGTGTACTGGTCCGCGTTCTCCGACCCATCGTATCTAGCCGGGGGGTTGGGCTTCACCAACATCTTGCCTTTTGGTCCGGGGCTCGCCTTCCTCTTGCGCTTCTTTGTCTTGCTCTTCCTAGCGCGAGATTCCACGTCCATACTAGAGTCATCAGAACTGTCTGATTCGGTACTCGAGCTCGAGGGTGAGCTCCCCGTATCTGAGCTAGAATCGCTGGATGACTCGCTGGGTAATCCACCTGAGTCATCGCCTTCTGACTCTTCAGACGACGATTCAGAGCTGGATCCCCCGCTCTCCGATGGCTGAAGGCTGACACCCCTCAGGACGCTGTTTACAAAGCCGATGTTCTCTTTAGGCTCCGTCGAGCGCCTTTTCGGCGTCCCAGAGGGAGCCCGGGTGCGCGCCCTTTCGCTCATCAGTTTTGGTCTCTGACTTCCCGACATGGCGGAGGTTTCCCGCTGGCGCTCTCGTTCCTCGAGTTCGCCAAGGCGTTCCCTCATTCGAGAAAGCTCCCGAAGTAAGACGTCTCGGTCGCTTGCCTGCGTCGTTACCTTATTCGGCGTTCTCAGGGCATGGTTTCTCGTTTCCGCTTCGATTGCGGGGGGCGTTCGACCGGAGTCGTGACGAACCCTCTCCCCTTGCGCCAGCTCAAAGGCCTTCAAAGCGTTTTTCTGAGCTTCCAAGTCGCTATCGGAGAGCTGAGCCTCTCCCCAGTTACCAGGATCGGGTCCCTTGCCTTTCTCCTGGGAGGGACCGGCGACCGGCGGCTGTGGATCCACGCTGCCATCTGACCATTCGGCTTCCTTCAGCCGATAAGCGTGGTCTCCTTTGGACCTATCACCGATCACGTCCGATTCGGCGATATCCTCAGAGGTCGTTCCGAGGTCCTGCTCCTGTCTGGGGACAGGCGCACGTTGCTCTGCCGCGCTTGCCAGGCTGGCGTAGCGGTCGGAGATTAGCCGCAGCATCTCAGGGGACATGGCTTCGGCCGCCTCGTCCAGAATGGAGGTGAGTTCCTCCCGGCTATTGCGAATATCGTTCAGTTCTGTACCTGTTCTACTAGCAGGACTGGAACTACGACTACTAGCAGACTCCCGATGAGTACGGGCAGTCCGCTTCGTGGCTAAGGCCCAGGGACCGTCACTCCTATCCGCCTCTTCTATCGATCCTGCGACGTCCAGGTGATCGGTTTGGCCCCTGGCCAACGTGGACAGGGGCGAACGGGGCGAATTCTCCGTGTTTTCACGGGCTGGGCGTTCCCCCGTAAACGGGGTACTAGCGATGTCTCCGCCAATGGTCCAGGACGCATCGACGGGCTTGGGAAGGGTGGCCGAGGCCGGTGATACAACGCGAGCGTACGTCCGCTCCGGCGTCACGGGTCGCTCCACCTCGGTTGCTAGTGGCAGCGAGGCGAGTTCCCCTGTCGTCATAGCGGCACCACGGGAGTTGCGGCGACGCAGGGCACGGGCGGGGATGGATGGGGGTTCGGTTTGTTGCATGGTAGCAGCGAGAGGTTGTTGGTTTTTGGTATGATGGGTCTTCGTCGAAGTCGGCGGGCACGGGAGATCAATCCGCGGGAGGGCCAGAGCAGGGCGAAGAGGGGTAGAGCTTTACTGTTAAAAATATGTGACTGAAGCGTCCTTGAACGGGTTCCAGCACAAGAGATTGGGTAGTCAATCCGTTGGGTAACAGGGATAAGCTTTCTTGAATTGACTAGCGTACCGATCCTACGCTACTAAGTACTTATACTCGATCGAATTATCTACACAAACAAACACACACACACACAGGGGAGTCAGCAGGTTAAGGTAATCAGGAAGAGGAGCATTCCGTTACACCAAGAGCTTCCGCAACCCATTGTGGCTCGTAACGCCGACAACACCGAGAACATCAGCAGTCGGATCACGCACTACGTCGACTTGAGAATGAGAATCGGTCCTCATGTAGAGACACGCACGGTCCTTCTGACGTGTTTGGGAAAAGCTCGGATCTTCATCGGCCTGGATTGGCTGACGGAACACAACCCCGAGGTGGATTGGCAGGAGCAGACAATGAGATTCAGCCGATGCCCAGAGCAATGTCAAATGAGGGGTCACGAGGAGCACCAAGCGATGGTCGACATGGATGCAATTGACCTGGACACGGGTGCACCGGATCTGGAAGAGGGAGAATCGATCTTGTTGATCGACTTTGGAAAGGAGGTAGACCTACGGCTGAAGGAAACGCCGGCGCAGAAATTTGCAGAAGAAGCGGAAAAGGAGAAGGAGAGAATGACCGAGGGAAAGATTCCAGATCAATACCGAGAATTCGTCAAAGTATTCGCCAAGGAATCATTCGACTCGCTACCGGACCGACGGGCATGGGATCATGCGATCGAGCTCAAACCAGGCTCCAAAGCAGTGGACTGCAAGGTGTACCGCTTATCGAGAAACGAGCAGGTCAAACTCGACGAGTTCTTACAAGAGAACCTAGCCAGCGGACGGATCAGGCCATCAAAATCACCGATGGCATCAGCATTCTTCTTCGTCAAGAAGAAGGATGGCTCGCTACGGCCTGTTCAAGATTACCGGAAGCTGAACGAGATGACGATCCGAAATCGGTACCCGCTACCGCTGATTTCCGAGCTGGTCCACAACCTGTGCGGCGCCAAGTTCTTCACCAAGCTAGACATCCGGTGGGGATACAACAACGTACGGATCAAAGAGGGCGATGAGTGGAAGGCTGCGTTTCGCACAAACCGCGGACTTTACGAGCCCTTGGTTATGTTCTTTGGTCTCACGAATTCCCCGGCAACTTTCCAAAACATGATGAACGACATACTCCAGGAACTGATCAACGAGGGACATGTGGTAGTCTATCTGGACAATATACTGATCTTCACAGGAAATCTGGATGAACACCGACGAATCACCAAACGGGTACTCGAGTTGCTCCAAAAGCACAAATTATACCTGAAGCCGGTGAAATGCTGAGGGCGTGCTCACAAGTGAATCTACTATGAAAGTAAACCCAAATATAAACACGTTCACACTCCTCGTAATCAGCTTCTCAGTGTGTGAAAGATGCGAGGGCTTCGGGGTGGACAGAGCACCAGTATGACAACTCTCAATAGACGCAGATCCAATAGTCGCGGAGACGAAGTCGACGACAAGAATTTATATATAGCAAACAATGGTATCTCAACCAATATCTCCTATACGAACGCAACCAACACTAATCCAATCCACAACCAACAATATAACAAGTCAGAGCTTAATACGAAGTATTAAGATCCCTTGTAGCGACAGCGTCCAGATGGTGACGCAAAGCCCAAATATCAAGTCGACGCACTGCCAACCGATACAACCAATATACTGAGTCGACGCACTGCCAACTAGTAAACCAAAATGTCGAGTCGACGCGCTGCCAACTGACACAACCAAAAGTACTGAGTCGACGCACTGCCAACTAGTAAACCAAAATGCCGCGTCGACGCACTGCCAACTAACAGCCAATATCCAATGTCCAAAAACCCGAGCACAACTTGTCGACGCACTGCCAAGCAAGAAGTGTGGAACCAAAGTTCTCAAGTTGACGCACTGCCAACTGACCAAAACAACCCGAGCACAACTAGTCGACGCACTGCCAAGCTAGAGGTGTGGAACGATCTCAACAAAGCCCTAAGGCGACGACACTAAATGCCGCGACAATACCAGATGCGGCGAATCTGACTTTCTGATATCTCAAAACTCAAACTCAAATCACAGTAGCTACAAGTGCTCAGGGAGCAACTCGTCGCGACCGGGCAGGGGTAGCAGAACTTCTTAGGGTGGAATCACGCGGCACGCAAATTGTACAAAACAATCTGAAATGAGAGTGATTCACAGTCCGGGGAAAAGCTTCCTAATACAAAGAGACGACGTGCTACTTATACTGTCTACGACGCTGCTTAGTAAAGTCCTGTACAACTGCATAGTAGCTACGCTATCTAAGATCGGTTGCCTTTTAGGGTAATTGAAAGTTGAACGATCGGACAGGTCCTGAGTGATCAGGACCCCGCCCCATTGTCCATATGATACTTTTGATGTGGGCCAACTCACCGCGTCATACTTTTGGAATACGACGTGCTGGATTGGCCAACGGGTACGTCTTGGCATGTGAGACCAACGTGGGCGCCCCAAGAAGCCGTATGGCTCTAGGCACGCCAATCGTCTCCCGCATGGCTCGGTTCACGGATCTAGCCATATCGATTTTAGTGTGTTTGAGTATGGGCGCGACTCGCCGTGACACTTGGAAGTGTCACCGCGACGCGTCCACAATGTCCTGTGATCGAGTGGATCCTGACATGTGACAAGTCGTCGTCGTGGCATGATCTGAGGAAACGTCCAACTCAAAACCGGGAGTTGCCGCGACAAGATGGTTTAAGTCTTGTAACGCCAAGTCCTGTCCAGTAGTAGTTCTATTATTGAGAACGTCGCGCATTGCTCAGCCCTTCAGCCCAAGTTCCCACCTGCAGAGAATGACCCTTTTTGAGAAGTCGACGCAACAACATATCCCTTTTTGGGGAATGGTCGCGGTCCAAGCGTTCGTCACTAATGGCCCTGAGCCTGGTGTAGACTCATAAGACCAGTTCCACAGTAGTGGTCTGACTGCCCTGCTATCGTCGACACTATCCACAGTCGTCGACTGGGCAGTAGACCCATAAGTCCTACTGAGCGCAACACTGTTAACCGCGACACGATACACCGAGTGGTTCAAGAGTAAACTCTGTAAAAAGCGCAAAAATACGCCCTTACAGAGCTGGTGCAGAGCGCGTCTGGTAGCCAGCCTATCATCTCCCAGGAACACTAATTTTGACCTCCTGGTCAATCCCGCGACAGTCTCACTGCGTCAGGTCTAAGTCCAACAGTCGACGTCTCGTTTATTTATTATTAAAGCCGCGGAGACATAGAGTTATGTTCCCACGTCTTATTCATTTGGTTGTTCGGTTCCTTCCGTGATCTGCCGCGATCAAACTTCTTCCGGCATGTTCACCATATAAATGCCCTCAATTTTCAGGGTCGAGAGTCTCCCTAGTACGAGACACTCTTGCCTTTTGACCACCATGTCCGCGCCCGACCAGAGCCCCCGCCCCCAAGACACCAACCGTGAGTGACGCCCAAGACGGCTACCGCGACTTTTCAACCACGCTAACCATCCATCAGCCGTCACCGAATCAGCTGTCCCGGGAGCAAACCTGCCTGCCATCGACTGGCGGCAGTTCATGCCGTCCGTCAAGGTCTCTCCCATGGCTTGTCGACTCAACTCACCACCTGCCTAGCCCCGAGGCCTACAACCAGATGTTGCGGCAGATGGCCGTCGACGTCCGCCAGATCCAACAGGTGAGCTCCGTCTTAAGCCCGCTGGAGCGAATAGTCACGGCGATCAATGATTGCCGCGTCTGTTCGCTTTGGCCTTCCATTCTTTTCACTAACGTAAGGGCTAGCCGGCGCCTGCGTCCTTGACCACCAACGCTCCAGTCGAGGAGTCGTCGCCGCCCAAGAAACGCAAGCGAGTCGTCGAGCCCGTACGTGTAATCTGTTTCATTCGTTTACTATGTTCTGATCGACCCCCAGGCGGCTCCAACCGAACAAGTCGCCGCCTCTTCGTCGTCCCGGCCTGCCAAGCAGAAGGGGAAGGGTGACGGTTCCAAGCCGCAGGCCCCTGCCGCCGTCGCGGGCAGCAAGGTCGCCGTCGCCAAGAAGTCGAGCGAGAAGCCGCAGGGGAAGCGACCCAAGGCGACTCCTGCAAAGGAGCCCAAGGCGTCGTCGCATGCGCCTACTCGTAAGTGGCCTTTTCATTCGGTTCACCGAAGTCGCGGGCACTGATCTATTGTAGCTGCTACTCCGGTCCCTGTTTCACAGGAGGCACCCCCCAAGCGCGTCCCCAAGAAGACGCACGCAGGTGTGTGCACCCTATGTCTTATTTCGTTGATCCTGAGACTAACCACTTGGTCCCTCCCAGCCCGGATCCAAGCACAGCCCGTGCAACCCGAGTCCCTCAGCGATGAGGAAGCCGCCGCCGTCGCCGACACTGCGATGGATGTCGACGACGAGGGGGTCCAGGAGGGAGACGCGTCATCGGCCGACGAGCTGGCCCTTCAGGTAAGTGACCCAGTTCGTCGATCGCGATTCTTCGTCTCATGGTTGGTTTGTTTTTGACAGGGGCCCAAGTCCAAGGGGAAAGCGCGATCGAATTTGAGTGCGTTCTTCCTCTTGCCCCCTCTGTCGATTACTCACACTTTTGTAGCCCCGTCCGTCATCGTCATGGACGACACTTCCGAAAGTGGGGAGGAGACCGGTAACTTCGTTGTGGCCAAGAAGCAGGTCAGCGAGACCCGCGTCAAGCCCAAGGTAAGCTGGCTCCTTTTTCCCAGACCACGCCCCTTAATCCAGCTTTTTAGCCAATCAAGAAGGTCGCGGATGGATCATCCAAGTCGACCAAGTCCGTGCCTCCCCATCCGGTGCCGAAGGTGGAGGCC